CTGGCCCCTCATCAGACACCTGTTGCCGGAACCTGGACTTCCCCTTAGGCCCAGTGTCCTAGGGGCCTGTAAATCATTCACCTTGCCACCCCCTTGCTCTGTTCCTCTCATGCACCACCTTGCCCTTCCTCTTTGGGTTCCAGGGGGCACAGGTGCTCACAAAAAAGTTACCGGTTTGAGTTCTGTCCAGAGCTGCAGCTGGAACCCAGGACTCCTGACTGTCACTGAAAATACAGTTTCCCAGGATGGGGGAGGGGCTCTCAAGGCCCCACCCCTGGCCAAGGAGCTTTTGGCACTGGATGGCTACAGGGGAAAGGAGAGTCATTTTTCTTTGGCGTGGCCACTGGTAGGTGTCTCATGCTCCAGCAGATGGCCTCACCCTCAGGCGCATACAAACAGCACTAAGTGGATTCTGGGTTAGAGGGGAAGGAAGATGAAGAGGAGGGCGGGGAGGGGGTAGCAGATGAAGTTGGGAAGGAGAAGGTGGCTCCTGGGGGAGCTGGAGGAGGACATAGTGGTGGTCATGATCAAAATCCATTATATATATATGTATGAAATTCTCGAAGAATAAAGCCGGGCGGTGGTGGCGCACGCCTTTAATCCCTGCACTCGGACGTAGAGGCAGGTGGATCTCTGCGAGTTCAAGGCCAGCCTGGTCTACCAGAGCTAGTTCTAGGACAGGCTCCAAAGCCACAGAGAAACAATAAATAAATAATAGAGTTGAGGGGCTGGTAATGTAGCTCCCTGTAGTGCTTGCTGTCTTAGCGTGCACAAGACCCTGGGTTCCTTCTCAGTGCATATAAACCAGGGGCTGTGCTACACCTGTAATCCAGGTACTTGGAGATGGGGACAGGAGGACCAGGCGTCTAAAGTTATCCTCAGCTGCACAGTGGTCCAAGGCTAGCTTGAGACCCTATCTTTAAAGTAAATACATAAAATAAAAATAAAACCAGGTCTGGTGAAGGAGGCCCGTATCCCCACTCACAAGAGGCCGAGGTAAGGAAGTTTATAACTTCAAAAATTGCCTGGGCTACAAAGTGAATTCAGGGTTCACCTAGGAAACTCTTATCTCAAAGTTTAAAAAGAACAAAAAGAGCTGGGGGGAATATATATTCATGGTCAAATGCTTGTCTACTACAGATGAAGTCAACCTCCACTGACATGCACACACACACACACACACACACACACACAGAGAGAGATAATGCAATGGATCTGAACATAGTGAAACTGGAAGCCTCTAAAATCACTCTCGTCCCTATGTCTCTCCACCTCCAGCTGCCTTCCTGGAGGAGGTAGCTTCTGTTGTTGGCTTCTTGTACATATTTTTAGGGAAAAAATAACATAAAACTATAAAATGATATGCTACTTAAAGTTCACAAATGTCTAATTCTTATGTATTTTTGCGTGTGCCTATGTGTGTGTGTGTTCATAAACATGTGTTCACCTGTACCTTTGGGTATCTCTCTCTAGCGCCCTCCACCTTAGTTTTCGAGGCAGGGTTTCTCACTGAAGCCATAGCTGACCGTTTCAGCTAGACTGACTGGCCAGGGAGCCCCAGGGCTTCACCTGTCTCCACCCTACACCCCCAGAAGTGGGATTACAGGCGAGGGAGCCCCCATAACTGGCTTTCCATGGGTTCTGGGGATCTGAACTCGGGTCCCATACCTGTGTAGCCATCACGTTCCCTACTGAGCCATCTCCCCAGGCTGGTAGCAGGCTGTTCTTCTAGTAGCCCGTGTCTTGCGCCCTCATACATGTCTAGTTGCTCAGTGCTCCTCTCCATGGGGGCTCACCAGCTCCCTGGTCTTAGGTATGGGCGTTGTGTTTAGTCTTGTGCTATTAGCAACAATCACTGCTGTGGGCAGTTCTCTGCGAGGTTGTTTCCTGGGAGTCGAGCTTATGGCCAAGGTTTTGTGCGTGGAAAATCAGGATACATGATGCTTAGTTGGCTCCTAGGAGGGTGCTCCAGCTAGTGCTCACCCTGGACGGTAGATAGAAGTCCCTGGTTTCTGGACCATACAAGGGATTGAACATTTTGCTCATTGCTGAATGTTTCTTAGCAATCAACCTGTGCACTTTAAGCAGCTGGGCTAGATAGAAGTTGGCCAGTAGGTTCCTAATTCTATCAACTTCCCTCCAGGGCTATGGACTAGAGCTCCACTGACCCCGGTGGGGACAGAGGTGCTGCAGTGCAGCCAACACCCTAATCTGGAGATCTTGGTTCCTGTTATTACCAGGCTGATGGCCTCAGAGAGAGTAGCTTTCTGTGCCCTGGCTCCCAGCTATAAATGACTATTGTGGGTCCCTGCTGTTCAGCATAAGGGGACAGAGGCAGGGAGCTGAGAGAGACAGAGAGGGCGAGCAAGCTAGGTACTAAAAGAACAGCTGCCTTCATGACTGGGCTCTTGGAATCAAAGCCCCCTCTGCTGCTCAGCTTATCCTTTTGGACACCACTAGGAGTCTTCCTGGCATTTGAAATTCCCAGCCCGAGGTCATCAATCCCAGCCGGCCCAGACTTTCTGGTCTACTTTTGCCATGATCTGACCTTTTATTCCAGGGAATGGACATAGAGGCGTGGTATGCTCTGTAGCTTCTATTGCCTACACAGGATATTGGGCAGCTCGGTGGTACCTAATAATGGTGAGATGGGGAGCTATGCGTTGGAGGCAACTCTAGGCTAGAGGGCATGACATTGGCACATGTGTGCCCACTTGTCCTCTTGTGACCCTGACTCTGCAGAGAGGTTGGACTAGATCTAGCAGGAGTAGCCAACAGTTTGACATTATTCTATTCAGTAGTAATCTAAGGATGTGTAGGGCAGCGCCCATCGCTGTCGTGGGACACTTGGGCCCCACAGCTGCAATTGGACACTCCTGGAAGAGCTCACTGGCCTCTTATTTAGACCTCCAGCAGCCGCACGACTTCCTTAAACCATGGTCTCTTCATCTGAAGCTGGCAGGGGACCAAAATCCCAGGACTCCTGACTCTAGCTAGTGACCCCAGTAGTGGGCTGTGGATTCAGAGCCCAGCTAAGCTGTGGTGGTAGCAGCCTCAGGCAGAGCTGTTTCTGAGCCAAGAGTGACTTTTCTAGGTCAAGGAGGAGCCTCATCTGGAGCCTTGGCCTTAGCAGCCTCTCCCTCAGCCCCTCCTCTCACCATGCCTGGCACAGGACTGAAGGCTATCCTGGGCTATGTCTCTGCTGTCAGGTGGTACTGTGAGCTTGGTGCATGTGGAAGTAGCCAGTTTGGCTCTGCCATTCTGGCAGATAACCCAGGGAGAAGCCGCCTAGGAACAGCTGTTGTCTCCCATTCCCCCACAGAACCACTTGGCTGGAGAAGAGCCTGAGTCTGTCCTGCCAAGTCCGTGTGGGATGGATGGGTGGAGGTGGGCCAGATGTAGGTCTTTAGTGCAGGAGCATGGGGGGACAGGCATAGCCAAGGCACAGAGTGGGGAGGCAAAGGCCAGGCTTTTTGTGGGTGCGTGGGTGGCAGGGAGATCCAGGGTTATCCCAGGATCGGTCGTGCCCTGGTGTGTGCATGCCTGCTGTCTGCGTGCACCTTCTAGTTCAGTCATGGGTTCAGGTTCTTACAGAGAAAGCTGGTGTTCATCCAGGCCCCGTACAGTAATATTCTCCACAGACAACCCTCCACGCTCAGCTCCAAAGGCAACCCTGATATTAATAACCTCAGACAACCCTTAAGTCCAGCTCCTGGCCCAGGCTGCACTATCTGGAAACCAAGCCACCACCCTCTTTTCCTGAGACATGTCAGTCCTTCCTGCACCTCCTTCTTATTCCTGCCCCTAATCTACTCTCCACACAGCAGCCAGAAAAACATGAAAGCCTGCAGCAGACGGCATGTCCTCTCTGCTTAGAACTTTGCAATGACTCCCATTCCAGGCAGAGGAAAACCTAAGCCCTTCCCCTTGACCTCTGCCCCATCCCCTCTGCTCCTCGCACCCTGTCCCACCAGCTTCCTCACTCATGCTCAGACATGCCCCCACCTCAAGGCCTCTGCATTCTCTGTTCGCTCCACCAGATTCTGTTTCTCTAGGTAGCCTGCATGCTCTTTCTCTCGGTTCAGCTTCAAGAGCCATGGTGTTGAATGTTTGACTTTTTCTTTTTCCTTTTTGAAACAGGGGTCCCACTATGTTACCCAGTCTGGTCTTGAATCACTGGATTCAAGTGACCCAACCGAGTAGCTGGGACTATAGGTGGCACTGCCACCTTCCTCAGCCAGCCCCACTCTGTCTGAAATTCCCACAGCTTCCCACCGCCAAATTCTTAGGCGCCCTGTCTTCTTTCTTTCCCTCAAAATAATTGCCAGTGAACAATGCCAATGTTTTCCATTTTTATTTTCTTTTTGTCTGCCTCCTTCCCCTAGCATTCAAGTAAGGACTTCTCATTTTTTTCCCTGCCCACCACAGAGTGTGGCTTGAGGCAGGGACTTGGTTTGTCTAGTGGAAGGAGCTGAGTCATTGCTCTGTGCTTGGACATGGGAGGGAGTGTGGACGGCTCGGGTAGATCAGCCCCTGGCCCCTGGTGCAACCTAGAGCCAGGCCTGGTGTCCTGAATGTCCTGGGTACCCAGCAGACCCTGGGGTTCACCAACAGCCCCCGGCCTTTCAGTCTTTGGGTTAGCACTCAGTAGATCTGGGGAGCCCCTCAAGCTAGGGTACTTCTGAGTCCTGTGCCTCCTCCACCGTTGTGACTTCCCTGCACAGGGTGGGCAGGGGGAGCATCTGGCAACTCCCTTAGCCCCAGTCTACCCTCACCAGTCAGGTGTCCCCTTCATAACAATGGTGTTCAGACGCACACCCTGGGGACCCTTGAGTCACAACCATCTGGGGAGTTCGTTCCCACAGCACTGAGCCCTTCTGAGTGAACAGATCTGACACAGCTAGCAGTGTCTTAGCTGCCAGCTGCCTGCCTGGGGCCTCCTGGCCTTTAGGGGTGCTCCACTGCACTCACCCTCCCTCACTGCCCCTTCTGCTCCTCAGGTAAGACTCGGACCAAGGACAAATACCGAGTGGTCTACACAGACCACCAGCGCCTGGAGCTGGAAAAGGAGTTCCACTACAGCCGGTATATCACCATCCGACGCAAGTCCGAGTTGGCTGCTAACTTGGGGCTCACAGAGCGGCAGGTATGTAGGTCCTCCGCCTCAGTTCAAGTAACAGGGCCCAGAGTCAGGCTTTCAGGATGTCATGAAGATACAGGGCTCACAAAAAGAGAACAGAGAGGTTGTCTCCCCGACTACTGGCACATACTACACAATGCACGCTGCCATACTGTTACCTAAGCTCAGTATTGCTGTGCATGTGTGCACATACATACACACACATATACACACACAGGCTACAGTGGGCATTAGTGCCATTCATTGCTCTTCAGACCTAGACAAAGAGTGGTCACAGGACACAGGGACTCTGGAGTAATCGGGCCTTGGAAGGGGAAGAAGGAGGTTACAGAGAACGGTGTCTAGGGCACAGGAGAATGTGTATCAGTGCCTGAGGTCTGGTGGCTACAGCAGGAAGTGGACCATGAAGACCACCTACCCTGACCCAGCTCCCTCTAACCCCTGCTCCATAAAAAGTCTGTGCAATCCCACAGGTAAAAATCTGGTTCCAGAACCGTCGAGCCAAGGAGCGCAAAGTGAACAAGAAGAAACAGCAACAGCAGCAGCCCCTACCTCCCTCGCAGCTGCCCCTGCCGCTGGATGACAACCCCACACCATCAGGGCCACCCCTGGGTAGTCTATGCCCCACCAGTGCTGGCCTTCTGGGTACCCCCTCCCCAGTGCCTGTCAAGGAGGAATTTCTACCCTAGACCCTTCCAGCCTGGGGCCCAGGGATCTAGGGACTCTAATGCTGGGCACCTGACTTTGCTGGAGCCAAAGAAGCCTGTTTTGAGTTCCAGCCCTGTTGCTGACCCTTGAGGTTACTGTGGACAAATTTCCTATCTAGGACAAGTCACTTGCCAACTCCCTGCCTCCCTTGGCTGGGCTATGTGATGGATGAGCCTTTTGGACAAGGACCTCTTCCAGCTCCTGTGTCCTAGGCCATGGGGTGATGGGGGGGCCACACTGAGAGGTCTCAGTCACCTGGAGCTATCTCAAGATCCAGAGGGCTCAACAAGCTGTCCAGACAAGACTGAGGCTCCACCTCCTCCTCCTCCTGGGAGGCTGCTGCGTGCAGCAGACTGGCCCTGGAGAGGAGTCAGTGTTGAGAGAAGAGGCACACAAGGGTCTAGACTCACATGTGAAGTGTAAGGTTGATGCCAGTCCCACCTGTCTCCACCTGAAACCTCACCTCCACCTGCCCTCACACCCCATGCTCTATCCCTCCCCAGCCTGGAGGTGCTCTCAAAGCTACCAGGACTGGGCCCGAGGTAAAGGCTGGGCAATTGTCCCTGCTCTTGAGACAGAGCTTGTCCCCTCCCTAGCACCCCAGGAAGGTCTATGGATGAAAGGGAAGCCTCTCAGGGTAGACTTAGACAGAGTCTACCGCCTGCCCATGCCACCTCCCCATAGACTGACTGTCCATCACACCCAGGGAGCCCCCAGGCCATGGGGAACTCATAACTGGACAGGGGTTACAGAGAAAGGAATCTCTTGAATGCAGGTTCAGAAATAAGTTTTCCCCCCTTAAACAATTTATAAAAATCATACATAGGATTAAAGGAATTTTATAAAAAGTTTCATCACCATCATCCTTTCCTCATGACTGTGTCTCCTTCCCATTCTGTAGTTCCCCCAACAAAGTCACCTTTAAAACACAACCAGTCGCTGGGCGGTGGTGGTGCACACCTTTAATCCCAGCGCTCAGGAGGCAGAGGCAGGTGAATCTCTGTGAGTTCAAGGCCAGCCTGGTCTACAAGAGCTAGTTCCAGGACAAGCTCCAATGCTACAGAGAATCCGTGTCTCAAAAAACAAAACAAAAAACCATGACCCGTCAAACGGGGCCCTGCCAAGGCAGGTCTGAGGCTGAAGGAACGCCAGTCTTGGGTGAGCGCTTCAGAATCCTTCTGATCCTGGCGCTTTCAGTTTAGCTTTTCCTGCAACACTGTTGAAAAACACTGTGAAAAAATTCACACTGCGCTCTGCGCACCAGGCCTTGCGGGAAGCACGTAGTCCTTTCCCCAAGAGGTACCTGGCCCAGTGGGAAGAGTGCCACAAGCATAGTGGTGCTAATATAAAAAGATAAGGGCCAGTCAGAACTTTGCTCTGGACACAGCAGGAACCAGCACGGTGTGTGGGGATGGAATGCAGATGGGCTCCCTGTGCATCCAGAGGCCTAGGAGGCTTCCTAGGGAAGGCAGTGCTGAGCTAAGACCCTGTGTGATGGTCAAGTCCAGAAGGGAAGGAGGAACAGCGCAATGGGAACGTAGAGTGTTCCATAAGCTTCTGGGAGGGGACTTCTCACCTTCTTCCCAGAGAGGTGGGCAGAAGTCACTTACCTAGGACCTTCTCTGCCCAGAGGGTTCTGGTGCCAGCTGCTTGCCCCTCTGTTTACTGTTCTGGGAGGTGGCTAGGTCATAAAAAGTGTGCTCAGCCTGCCTGCCTTCGCCCTTTGCTCCTGGGCCTGGGATAAGAGTGCACAGGTGTTCCAGTCCCAACACACCAGCCTCTTCTCTCTCCTGCCATCCTCTGGGGGAGACAACAGAGCCTCCTGTAGCAGTTTGACATCTGAGCCGCAGAAATCAGGTGGCACCAGAAGAATGGAGTGGGGAGAGGCTGGTAGCGGCTGAGTTTAGCTTTCTGATCCACGTGACCATAGGGTAACTACTTCCCCTCTCTGGGCCCCCATTTCCTGCTCCGGTCCAGTTGTTTTGGATGTAAATGGAATTTTGCAGCAAATGCTTTTACCTGTTGAGCCCTTTTACTGCCCAGGCTGACCTCAAACTCACCATATAGTCTAGCGTGGCCTTGAACAAAAATTGATCCTCCTACCTCGGCCTCCAGAATGCTGGGATTACAATGTTCCTCATGCTTCAAACCCAGGAAACTGATAATAGCACCTATGACCACACCCTACTTCCCCCCCCCACACACATACAAGGGAGTTCTGGAAGCTTCGTGGCTGAAGGCCCATGACCTCCTCATGACTGACTGGATCATCAGGTATTGGAGTTCAGTGTGACAGTTGGGTGTAACACACTGGGTTCCAGTGTGATGGCCTCTAGGTTATGAGACTTGGAAGCTAAGATGTGCTTAGCCTCTCTGGGTCTCCTCATCTGACAGAGAGAGCTAAAGCAGCTATTCCTGGGACTGAAGTGTACAGGCTCGGCATATGCTTTGCACCCCACTTGAGATGCTTGCATGTCTGGCTGAAGTCCCAGCCACTATAGCCCTGAGGTCAGTTGGTGTCATGAGGAGATGAGGTCCTGGCTCTAGAAGACCCTGCCCAGCAGACAGTGGTTACTCACATGGGAGCTTGGAAGGTTGGATGTTGATTACCTGCCCCTTGGTATTTGAACTCCATGAGGAAGGGACGTGGCCTGTATATGTTTATAAGCATGCTATGGTCTTCCTGTCACCTAAAAGCATTCCATTGGAGGGCTGGGGATATAGCTTAGGTGGTAGAGGTGCATGAAGCCCTGGGTTCAACCTCCAGGACTGTGGGTCTGGTGGCACATGCCTGTAATCCCAGCACCTGAATGGTGGAGGCAGGAAGATAAAGAATTCAAGGTCATCCTTGGCTACATAGTAAGTTCAAGATCAGCCTGGAGAACCTGACACCCTGGCCAGAAGAAACATAAGTTCCAGGAGAGGTTGAGGGGTGTAGCAGTGACTAAGGAAAGAAACCTCCTCAGGTTGCATCAGACCCTGCAACCACCCCAGAGATGGAGGTGTCCCAGCTATCCTCTGGGGACAGCAGGTGCTATTTTGTACAGGGGAGCTATACATGCCTTTCTGCTAAGTGACAGGCCTGAGCTGCTGCTGGGGATATAGAATCCAATAGAAGAGCTGGCTTAGGCTGGTCCTCTAAGGCACTAGCAAATGAGACAGTTTTGAGCTGCCATATGGATACTGGGAATTGAACCCGGGTCCTCTGGAAGAGCAGCCAGTGCTCTTAACCGCTAAACCATCTCTCTAGCCCGAGCTCTAGCAAATGAAAACAGAGCACAGCAGCACTGTTTTGCATATAGTTTCCTTGGATCCATAGAACCCTAGCTCCACACTGAGAACCCTAGTCCTGTAGAAGCACTAAGTCACTATCAATTGCCACAAGTATGGCAGGGGCTATGAGGCCCCAGGAATGCTCTAGAGACTCCAGGTTGGAAGCTTTGGAAGAGGCGGGCTCCAACACCTGAGGGGTTATGCGTGCATGGCAGCAGAAACTTGGAAAAGGTCTTCTATCTGAGAAAAACTCCCTGGCCTGCGATGGGGAAACAGACGGGCAGCCCACCAGAGCGACCCTAGAGGGCAATCCCATCCAGCTGGTCAGCCGGGCTGTTCTAGAAGGGCATCCTCCTCTCTGCACCAGATGGACTGGCAGTCTGGAGCCTCGGTTTTCACAGTCCCCACTCCTCTCGTAGCAAAACACATGCTCTACGGTGACAAAATTCGAACGTTTAAGCAAATTAAAAATGTTTATTTATATGCACTTAAAAATATCTCCCTATATAATAAAGGAAGTACATTTCCATCTAACACTTTCCTTAAATCAGCACGCATCTCCATTTCACTTCTGGCTTGTGGTGAGACCAGGAGATGTGCCTGGAGAAGGAAAGGGAGGGGCAAGGATAAGAGGGCAGGGGAAGAGCATTTAAGGGGTGTTAGCATCCTAGTCCCTCAGGATGGGTGACAGGGAATAGTCAAGTATGTCTGGTCACTGAACCCTTGCTTATTGCATAATTGCAAAGTTGGAACTTCACGGGGTAGAATGACTGATGTGGGCAGCATCTGCCAGAAAACCTTAGTATTTTGCTTTTTTTCCCCACCCAAGGCTGGTGACAGGGAGACGGTGGCAGAGAGGTGATCTGGAAGTGTTGCCTGCGTGGGCTCACATTTGATATTCCAGGTGTGGCTCTGCCCCCCCCCCAAGTGATTTTTGCCAGTACTGTCCTCTATGAGTTTCAGTTTCCCCACCTGGAGAGTATGGGCGCAGCCCCCTGCACCCCATGCCCTCAGTGACTATCGCCAAAGCTCAGTGGTCATCATACTTGCTCAAGGAAGGCTAAGTTTCAGTCTGGCCTCCGACTTCCAACCACATGCTCCTATGCAGGGGCCAGAAAGAGGCCAGTATTCTGGGATCCAAAGTCAATGGCCTCACCCCAGCCCTGTCCCGAAGTCCTCTGGACCTTCCAAAGGCCTGGCAGTTTCCAGTGGCAAAGGGAGAATAGTAGGAGGGAGAACCTGCAAGAGCCTCCTTCCTGAGCCCCAGGCCTCTGGTCCTCCCCAGACAGGACCATAGGCACTCCAGGCTTATTCCAAAGCCCAGAGATTCTCTGAGGTCTTGGGCATATGACATCATTCCTCTGAGCAAGTTTCCTCATGTATAAAATTTGTTCTACACATACCTGCTTTCTGGGGCTGTTGGGTAGAATTAATAATTGAATACTAGACATGAGCGCCCATCATAATACAGCAGGGCTCAGGAAATGCCCTCTGCCCATCTTGGCCTCCTGAGGTTCCTAGGGGCAGAAGCAGCTAGGGGAAGCTCCTTCCTCCTAAGTCAGGGAAGCCTTGACTGGTTAGTCTCTGGTAGGAATAGCTCAGATGTTGGGAAAGCGAGGTGGGCCCTCTACCCAGCTCAGGAACTCTGGAGCTTTCTCCTCTTCTCAAACCCCAGAGGTCAGAGCAGACCTATCCTGTCATCTCCTGCTGGAACTGGCAAACATGTTAATGGCAAATGTCTGAAGGGGGCACCTTTAGCGGCCAGGGATTTGCCATGTCTGGTTTCTCCTAGTGCTCTGATCTCTCAGATACCCCAGCTCTTATTTCCCCATCCTAGCAGAAGGCTCACAAGATGCCCAGGCGCTCAGAGAGCTCAGCCAGATACCTGCTGGCTGATGGCCCTAGTCACAGATAAAACACGTGGCTCTGGGGCCATAGTGCTGGTAGACAGGAACTTGGTTTATCATTACATCACAAGCCACCACAGCACAGTGAGATCTACCTGTCCTTTTCCTCCCCCTGAGCCTCCCATGGGATGCGCTTTCATCCCATGAAGAGGAGTAGTGCTGGGGCACTATTTCTACGGGAAGACTATGAAGCCTGACTCTGTTGTTGATGTCACACACTAACTGTGTGGCCTTACCTGTTCTTTAATTTCCTCACCTGTGAAATCGAAGGACTAACACGGGCCTCTCTAGGTTGAGAAAACGAGATGAGGCCAGGATCATTTTAAGGTACTGGAGAAGTACTGATAGACTACTGGAAACAACAGTCAGTTAGTAACAAGCAGCTTTACTTGAGTGCCTACTGTGTGGCAGCTCCATGCTGGTTGTTTTGTTTGGCCTCCCTGAGTTCCTTACGGCCCAGTAAAGTGTAAGGTAAGAAACTTAAGGTCATCAGCAATGAAGATGTAGTGTACTAGAACTCCATACATGAATATTAGTGTTCAGGAGCACTCTGCCTGCCTCTCTGCTCGCCCATCTAATGAAAGGGAAACCCAGAGAAGGCAGTCACTTGCCCAAGGTCACGCAGGAGACCATAGCTGCTGCCGATGGTTTCTGTCACGCACCCCCCC